ATATTTTTAAAGTTGTGGTTGTATTCTTGGGTATGGACATAAGCATTAAAGCTCGAAGAAAAGTCTAGTTTAAAACAAATAACTTAACGAGTAGAAATTAAAAATTATTTAGGGATGCAAAGCTTTAACTTCAAATTACGCATATGATTATGCTTTCTATTTTCTGATATTTCACGTTTTCCTTTACAAAGAATTTTATTTATTAAAATTTGAGGTGTTGTGGAATTTAATATAGCACTAAGATACAAAGGAAATAAACAAACGTTAAATGATTGTGAATAAGAATGTGAAATTTTACAACAAAACTTCAATTTTCAATTCTTTGCCTGCATAATATTTTTTTTTCCTAACATGATGCAGCACATAGGTTTTTCAAGAAGAAATGAAAAAAACAAAAAAAAAGAATTGAATAATGATAAATAAGAAAGCAAAGCTATACAGTTATACTTCGATTTATGATTTTTTTAATAGTACAGGGACCACAAGGATTCCGAGATCTAGGGGGGGATTTTTGAAACCAATAATGATTTTGGTTATATCCTATAAATAATAAACAATTTGTAAAATGTTTCGATTATATAAACGATATTACTTATATAAAATGCTAATGGAAAAAAGTAGAAAACTTTAAAAAAATATTTTTAAAATTTTTTTTTTGAATTAATTATAAAAAAAAATGAAAGTATTTTTAAAAAACTACATAGGTGGTATTGCTCATCGAACTTCTCAATTCAAAATATATTTACGAAATTTAAGAAATATGTTTCACTGTTAATGATTCTCAACATTTATAGCAGCGAAAAATCATAATTCATAGACCAGCAAATAATTTCAAATAAATCGAGAATTAATTTAGAATTTAAAATATTTCATTCTTCACATTAAATATTTAGAAAATAATTAGATTTTTTTTATTTAAGTTTCTTATTGTTATTATTTTTTTTAGACACATCAGCTTATTAACTTTTTTATATGATTGTCAGCGTTCCGCGAGAAGAAGCTTGATTTTTGAAAGTTCCATTAAAAAGAAGGAAAAAAAATGGGAACCCCTGATCTAGAGCAGCAAAGTTTTGGAAAAAGTAACATATTTCTTAAAGAGGACAACCCCATAGGCAAAGTATACCAATTTAACAATGATACGATTTTGCAAAAAGTGTATTTACTTTGCAAATGGAACAACAATTTTATAAAACAGGAAGGAATAATAATAAAATTAACAAGCATGGAATCAATTATATTCATTTTTACTACGTTTTTACACGATAACTATAAAACGAAGAAATAAAATTACATTATTATTATTATGGCTTTATGACTTTGGTATTTTTAATAATAATATTGATTTTAAAAAGCGATACCACAAGTTACTAACCTAATTATATTCAAGCCAATTAACAGCAGCAGAAAACATAAAAAGCAAAATATGATGCTATAGTTTTGTTAAGAAATTCTTCATGACAAATTTGGAAAAAAATAACTATTAAAAGATATAACTTGTCTCACATTAATACATCTATTCAGCTGATTCTTAAATTTTTTTACTTTGCTCCAATTTGGAGATAAAATGTTTGTAACGTTCGTAAACTTTGTAAAACTTGCCAGGTGAGGTTCCATATCTTGAAAAGGACTTAAAAGTTTGTGAGGAACTTAGTAGTTTGATTATTAATTTTGAAAACATATTCTCATCTTGTGAGAATTCTGATTTTTTAAAGACACCCTTTTTAACTGCAATAATAATCTAAAAATTTATTTCAATTTTAAAGTTTTGTGAAAAAGTTGTTGAAAGCTAATATTTAATTTTGCTTTAAAAAAAATTGTCAAACTTTTATAAGTTTAGGGACATTGTTTACAATTAAAAACCGTTATAAATTTTTTTTAATTTTAATTTAACTTCCCGTTTTATGAATAGCTTTCCTTTTTGAAAATATCAATTTTTTATATTATTATGCACATTTTTTAAAGTAATTAATTTTTGAAATACCAATTTAAGAAAATATTGCCCAAAAATATTCATTTTTCATAGGATTTTTTTTAATGTTACTTTCTGTTCTTTCTTAACTTTTTGGATCTTTCATCTTTGGATCTTTACTGATTATCATCTTCGGGAATTTTTTTCCTTTTTTTTTTGTGAGAAGCTTATCGAGCATTGCAATCATATTGCTTTAATAAGGAGTACAATTTCAAAGACTTAAAACTGTTAATAATAGTTTTGATAGTAAAGATATTTTTAAGAGTAATTTATGAAGGCATATTTCCTGTATTTATGAAATGACTCATTAGAGTTGAAAATTTAAATGATCAAGGCTGTCTGGCTTTAACTTTTAATGCATATATTTTAAAAAAAATTTAGAAATAATGGAAACTTCTCTTTGCAAAAATAAGGAAAGTTAATCATATATTATTTTCCCTGTTCAGATAAATTAAATCATTTATTTTTGTTAGTTGTTAAAGCACTAATTTTATTAATGACATTTTAATAATTTATATCTTTATGCTATCAGATTAATCAAAATAATAATGAATTAATCTATTGTTCTGCAGATTGAATAATATGAGATAATTTCAACAAAGCGTCATTGTTTTGAGAAATTTAATAGGCATACTTTGAGCATACAGGATGGTTATATAACTAGTTTGCTAGTACGGTTGAAGTTTACTTTTTTGAAATATTTCCAATTTAGTTTTTATTTAAAGTAAACTATAGTTTAATAAAATTGAAACAATCCGTTAATCTGTTCTATTATTCTGTTTCAAACATTCCATTTTAAATAAAGTAAATAGTTTTAAATAATTTTTAGCTAACTTGGCTGATTTAGGGTAAGTTTATTTTTTCTAAGTGGGCAGATTTAGGCTATTTAGCAATATCACATGCTTATTTTATTGATGCAAACAATTCACATCACTTTATTTTTGTCCTAAGTATAGCTATTTATCCCGACATTTATAACTATCTGCATATCTCATAGCATGTTCTACTTGGATATTTTGTCATTAAACCACAACATATTCAATTGAATATTCTCAGAATTTTATTGAAAAATTCCTCTTTTCGATTTTTATTTTTCAATTTTATTCTATTCCATGTTTCATATTATAAATTTTCCAAACAATATTCGACTTTATGAATTCGTCATTCAATGTTCCCTTTTATAATTTCTCAATTTAATTTATTTACTACATGCTCGATTTGATTACTTAATTACTATTTGAATGCCATTTGTGGGAACTTCTATTTGAATAGCATTTTTTTATTAAAATTTTGCTACAATACTTTACATAGTAACAGAAGTAACTGCGCGTTCACAAGAGTTATTTTTAAGAAAGATTACTATTTTTAAAAAATAAATCTGAAAACAAAAAACTAGAAAATATATGAATTTAGTGATTATTATCATCAGTTTAAATATTTCCATCAATTCATATCGAAATTATTGCCCCTAAATTTTGAAAATTATACTCGAACATTTTAAAGATTGATTAATTTTTAACATGGATAAAATAATAACATATTGTAAGACACCACTCATTTCCATTTTGCTATTTATTTCTCATTTTATATTAAAATGATTTATTGAAATGGAAATAAAATTTTTTAAAACTCAATTTCAAATCAGAAACTTAATAGGTCATAATCTTATTAACAATAGATTGAAAATCGGTATAATCAATGCAAACTATTTCATTAAAATCACTCCGAACTAATAAATATAAGCATAAAAAATGTTTGGTTACTTTTTAAACAATGCTTGCTGTAATGCATTTTGCCTCACACTAACAAATGCATTATTTAGTTTTAAGTCCATTTAAAACACATATGTAATAAAGAATAATTTTTGCTTTATGGTTAAAAAATGCTTTTCGCAGGTGGGTGGTATTTACTTTATTGTGGATTGTGAAAATTATTAACAGAATTATAATACCCAATTATTTCAAGATTGTGAAATTTTAATTAAATTAGAAAATAATTTTAATGGATAAAATATAGCAGGAAATAAGACACAGTAACACAATCATTAAGAAAATGTATTTACGTACATAACTTAATGAATGTAACATTCCATTCCAATACATTCATCATAAGAGTCATTTCTAAAAAACTACCCCTTTCTATAAATTAAAAGGAAAAAAAAATACCAATTAGTGGTACACTAATAAAAATATTTATAATTTATTTGCTACTGATAGTATCATATTTTAATAACAGATTATTATTCATAGATAGTAATGTCAATTATTACTTTTAGTGCCAACAGATTTTTTAGCCTTATAGTACTTTTAAATCCACCAGATTTTCAAACTGAATTTTCTAATTTTCTTATCGTTTAGTTAAGATAAAAGTAAGTAATAAAGGTAGATGAAATTAGTGATGTTATTATTTGCAAATTTCTATTAATTAAAAAACTTTTGAGTAGTGTAACATCAATTTGATCTTGACTTTCTCTAATTTTGTTTGATATTAGATTAAATTACGTTATCGGCTTTTTTTTTCTTGTTGAAAAAATGACACGGTGCTGAAAGAAAGGAAAACAATAAAAATAGTCTAAAAAGTAACCGTTTTTTTACTTTTCTTTTTCGTATTTGTTATCACCATAGCCTTTTCGTTTCAATTCAATATTTTAGAATATTTATAGGTAGCTCTATCAAGAGAAAGAGAGGCTGATTGTTTAATAAATATCTTTCTGAACATAACGCCTCAAAACATTCCGTTTTTTTCTTCATTGAAATTTATTTGGATTATTAAAAAAAAATAGATATTTGAGAATTCTTAAAATAATTTTTAATTTCTCGTATCTGTACGATTGACAAGCGTAAACAGTATTTTAGCCTAAGTATACGTCATGTTTTCTTTTTTTCTTTCTTCTACCTTTTTTTCTTCTGCACGAGATCTCTACACTTCCATCATACGATGTAATTTCGTTGCTTTATCTCCTTCACGGCGAGTTGATAGTGACGCCAAACAAATCGCCAAAGAGGCTTCGGAGGTGTCGAAAAAGCTATAATAATAGTAACCGCCGAGAGATGGCGTAATTGCTCCAGAGATGTCAGACTCAAGCCGATCGTTTTAGCCTCCCCCTCCTTTCATTTTCCATTCCACCCTTGTCTCCTCTCATCGCTCTCTCCAGAAGTAATTGTAACCAATAAAAAGAGAGGACAGTATTCGCGCCTTTCTCCCATTGGTTCCGTCCCGGCAATCTCAAAAATTAATTACAAAAAAACTGTGTTTCGCAGCCGGCTCCGTTGTTTCTTCCCCATCAGTCCAGTTGCCCATGTAGATCACCGAGGGTGTTAGTATAAAGGAATTTCTTCAAACAGTTGAAGGACTGATTTTTTTTTATAATTTTATTACTTTTCGTTTATTTCTTCGTAACATCATCTTGAGATTGTGCTTCGCCCACGTGACGGATAATTTTAAATAGTGTGTGATATTTTTTTTTTGAATCATCAACATTTAAGGATTTATAAAAGAAATAAATAAAAATTAACTCCTGATGTCGCGGAATGGGTTGTTTCCGCAGCAGCTGTGAAAAGCATCCTCTGATCCTCAGCGGACCACCCCTGTGTTGTCAATATCGTCTGCTGGAAGTGGGGTCGCGCTCTTACCGCCTTCCTTCAACAGGTCAGTTCCTTTTGTGATATGTTTACCTTTGAATTTCGTAAGGGGGGAGTGGCTGTGCGGGGAGGAGTAGGGAAGAGAATTTTTGCTCTTTCTTTGTTATGGGGTGCTATTTTTTATGTTTCATTTATTTATTTATTTTTTTTCTTCCGAGAAACGATCAGGTTTAAAAATAAACCTCTGAGATAAAAATTCATTTTATATAATCTAAAGTAGCATAAGCTAAGTCTGGGATTTTGTGGTTTTAAACTTCTGTAGTGTTTTATAATCGTTAAGTTAATTTATCAACCATATTTAAAAATAATAAAAAAATGTTTCAAGAAAAATAAAATCGAATGCAATTCTTGTGTTCAGAATCTATGTAGGCATTTTTATGAGAATTTGCAGATGAACATTTTTGGTGCACAAGTTTGTTTAATTTACAATTATTATTATTTTTTTTATCGATATGCTCAGCTCTCGTATCTACATAATTTCTTATAATTTTTTTAACTAGTAAAAAAATTACAGTAACTGTTAATACGTGACAAAATTTGCATTACACGCAGATTTTCAATTAAATAATTAAGAGTACATTTTATTATTAGTCTATCAAAAATTAACTATATATTCATATTAACTATATAAATTAACTATATATTCATATAACTATATTTAACTATATATTCATATATTAGTTTGATTTCATATATCAGCTATAAGATATCTTTTGATATAAAAGAATTATATATACAGTGATTTTTAATACATTTAATAACGCAAGATTCATTTTTACAATAATTTTTAACTCTAGACCAATTTTTAACCAAGATCCAATGACATAAGATTAATTTATATGATATATTTTAATACAATTACTAATACAAGAATTAGTTATTCAGTAACTTCTATTACGTTTTATTATTTAATATAAAATTTAGTTACACAATTTATTTCAATGTAATTAAACAATTCAAGAATTAAATACACATTAGATATAATAGCCAATTAATGACAATTTTAAATTCTATTTATTTAATTATTAATTAATGAAAGGCATTTTGAAGTTATAATGAATATTAAAAACATTAATTTTGTCCTCAAGCAAAAGCTTTTATCTGACAAAATCTTACCGCTTAATGTAGTTTGCATTGATTAAGCCATAGATCACTTCTCAAGTTTCAAAAGTGGTTATCCTTGTAAATTTCATTATATATGATTAAAAAATTCAAAAAGGAACAATGTATTCATATTTGTCTGTTATTATGAGTGATAAATTATTATAAAGTTTTAATGGCGTTGTTTTTTGTAGTAAGTCATCATATTCTTTTTCCTTAATTTAATAAACATTTCAATTTTAGGCATCTTCAAAAAATTAATTGGCAGGAAACGTCTGCCATTGTGAGTGATAGATTGAATGAATGATAAAATTAGTTATTTGTTTTATAGTAGTTTATTTTTTTCAATTGTCATAATTCTATCTACTTTTTTAATTCTCACTCATTCTACTATACTACTGGAGTTAGTACTTATACTAATACTACTGAAGTTAGTACTTAATATAAGTGATACTACTGGAGTTAGTACTTAATATAAGTAATACTACGGGAGTTTGTACTTAATATAAGTAATATTACTAGAGTTTGTACTTAATTTGCATTTTAAGTATCGCTCATTTTGCATTTCGCTCATTTTATTGCTTATCGTTATCATAATTTTTGTCCTTTGTGTATTATACGATCTAATGTGTACTGCATATTCAATTCATCCTGATACTTAGCTAGCCACTCAAAGCCCTTGTTTGGCTTGTTTTTTTTTTTTTTATAGGACCACAAGTACGTTTATTGTTGCAAATTTTGAACTATTTTTTATAAAGAAATTCAATTAATATAAATTTTAAAAGAATGCTTTTTGATAGAAAAAGATCGGAAAATATTAATTTTTTTGATAAGTGATTCATTTTGTAAAAAGATTATGAATTTTTTAAATCTAACAAGTAGTTTAGTTTTCGCAAACAAAAACGTATTTTTCGATTCATAGAAAAGTAACAAAAAGTAGAAGATTCGCTTTATAGCAACAAAATGCCCGAATCATATTCTTACTACAGTACCATGCTTGAAAATTTCTCATCTGTGGGAAGCGGGAACTGTATTTTATAGCATTTGCTATGAAGTGCCATCTAGGTACGAAATATTGAACTACTGTATTTCTGTTTAGCAATACTTACCATAAGTATTTTAAGAATCATAGAGCGCATTAGTGATTGGTTTACATAAATATAATATTTCTATTGATTAAAAATATTCAATGAATTTCTGCTGCATTTTTTGTATAAATATAATTCAATAATACTAGAATTATTTTACTTTATTTATACTTTTTTTAATGCTGAGTATTGCTAACTGCATAAATTTTTAGATAAAAAACTCTCATACTTTTATATTAAATATTATTTATAAAAACATTGTGTTATAGCTGCTGCTTGACAAAGTTTCCAGAAAGTTTTGTTGCGCATTACGACAGCATATATGTGATTAAACTATCGGGTTAATCATAAACAGTTATTAAAGAATCTAATTACGCCCTAAAAACGTATCATAGTATTAAGATTCTATCTAATTTATTATGAAATGCCCTATCATGAAAAAAAGTATTTAGGCTGTCTAAGACTTAAGTTTGACTTTTAAAAATCCAACTTGATCATTAATTATTTTGTAGCAAAAATTAACTAGGCCCTAACAGTTAGTTTAACTTTAAAAAAACTTATTAGTTTTCCTATGCATGGGTTGGCATTTAAGTGACAAACTAATCATCGCGAGTAAACTATCTATTTGTTAATTAAATGCCTTACATAAAACTAACTAGTTAGGCTGTAAAAACCAAATTAGGCTGTTAAGAATCCAGTTTGCATTGTTGATTATGAATTGTCTTACATCTAAATTAACTACTTTGGCCATAAAGAAATATTTTGGCTTTATAGTATCTTACATCACATTATCTTACATACATTGTCTTACATCACGATTGAATGTCTTACATGAGTCACGGGTGTAGACGAATTGTCTTACATAAAAATTAACTACATAGGCATTTAAAATATTGTTTTACTTATAAAAATCCAATCAGCAAGAGTAAATATTTTGCAGAAGTTAGTTTTAAGTCGCGAGTGTTCATAAAGGACACGAATTGTCTTACATAAAAATTAACTACACAGGCATTTAAAATATTGTTTTACTTATAAAAATCCAACTAGTCAGCAAGAGTAAATATTTTACAGAAGTTAGTTTTAAGTCGCGAGTGTTCATAAGGGACACGAATTGTCTTACATAAAAATTAACTACATAGGCACTTAAAATATTGTTTTACTTATAAAAATCCAATCAGCAAGAGTAAATATTTTGCAGAAGTTAGTCTTAAGTCGCGAGTGTTCATAAAAGGTCTTACATAAAAATTAACTAGGTAGGCCATAAATACGTAATTTGGATGTTAAGTATCCAGCTATTTGTCTCTTGTAAACTACATTGTTGATTATTGTCTTACATAAAATCAACTACTTTGACTGTAAAGGAATGTTTCGGTTTTTAAGTTTCCAACAAGTGATTGACTAATAATGTTGGCTGCAAAGAGGTAGTTTGATTCATTAAGTATTCAATCGAGTGAGTGTCTTATATTAATTAGTCTTACAATAAGTTACGAGTGTTCATGAAGTGTCTTACCTAAAAAAAATAACTATTTTGACTGTAAAGACTTGGTTTGGCCAGCTATTTCTCTTTTTTAAACAACATTGTTAATTAAGACTTGTCTTACATATAAATTAACTACTTTGGCTGTAAAGAGATACTTTGACTTTCAAGTATTTCGCTCAGTTATCGCGAGTAAATGTCTTACATAAGTCCACGGGTGTCTTGGGGGTGAATTGTCTTACATAAAAATTGACTACATGGATAGATTGACTTTTAAAGTGTCCACTTAAGTCAAACCGAGTTTTATGAGTAAGTCTTACAATAAGTTACGATTGTTCATGAAATAGCTTACATAAAAATAACTGTTTGGGCTACAAGGACATAATTTGGCTTGTTTAGAACCCAGCTATTCATGTCTTATAAACTACATTGTTGATTATGAGTTGTCTTATATAAAAAAAAATTAACTACTTATGCTGTAAAAAGATAATTTGGCTTCCAAGTATTCAACTCAGTTATCGCGAGTATAAATTTTTACACGAGTTTCGAGAGTACATGAACTATTCTACATAAAAATTAACTATGCATGCTGTGAAAAATTAGCTTGGCTTAAATGAACTTAACTATTAACCTATGTAGTTGATCATGACTTGTCTTGTATGAAGATTTCATAAGCTTCTGAAACTTAATTAGATTTATAGAAATCAAATTACTAATCACTGGTTATCTAAGTTTGTAATTAAACGTAAAAAAGTTGGTTTTAATAATATAATTTTAACTATAAGGGTCCAATTAATCATCGATGAATCACACAACCGGAAGTGATGTAATCTCATAGGATGTGATGATTTCTTTACTATCAGGGGTGCCTTGAAAAAATAAAAAAAAGAACAACCAATTTAGTGTGAAAAGTTTCTGAGCATAACATAGAGATAGGCGAAGTGGGTGATGTCTGGGGTTTGTTTATGTCGCCTAAACGCCAGAGAAAAATGTGCTTTTGGTCTCCAAAAGCCAGTCTCTCCCCTCCCCCTTTCTGTTGAAGACCCCACCACCCGGTTCCCCCTGTTTGTTCCTAAGTCCCCCACGCCATCTGTGACTTCTGGATGTGAAGAGTAGGAAGCGTGATGGTTAGCAAGTGTAACATGATGGTTTGGCGTTGATTTCCTGGATTATCCTCTGGGTTTTCGCACTATTTAACTTGGACGGAATTTTTTAAATTTATTACTTACGATACGTTTTAATCAATAAAACTGAATTTAATCGAGTTAAAAAGTAAAACTGCATTCAAGAGTTAATAATTACTTCTTCGAAATAATAATATTCATTTTATTTCTTAACAAG